GTCAAAGACCATCAGAAAACATATATTTCTGATGGTCTTAGGTACTCCTTTGGCAGAGAAGGCTGAAGATCTCTCCGCCTGTCCTTCTCTTCCTTTTTGGGAACAGATAGTGAATCTTCCCACCAAAAGACCTTCTCCTACTGTGATTGGCCGGCCTCTCAGCCAAGGGGAGGGCTATTTCTGAGACTTCAAATGGGGAGGGGAAAGCAGGCGTGCTCGGTGCATGGCAGCGTGGTGCGCATGTGCAGAGTGAGGGAGAGCGTTCGAGGTTGGAGGGAGGCTCGTGCCAGCAAGTCCCTTCAAGGCAGGGAGGTTCTGTGTGCTAAATTTGGTCCAATTCTATTCAGAATGCTCTCAAATGTCAATTTTCCCCAAACTCCACCAGTGTTTGCATTTGGGCATATTGAGTATTTGTGTCAAGTTTGGTCAAGATCTATCATTGTTTGAGTTCCTAGTGCTCTCTGGAAATAGGTGAACTACAACTCCAAAACTCAAGATCAATGCCCACCAAACCCTTCAAGTATTTTTGTTGGTCATGGCAGTTCTGTGTGCCAAGATTGGTTCAATTCCATCATTGGTGGAGTTCAGAATGCTCTTTGATTGTAGGTTAACTATAAATCCCAGCAACTACAACTCCCAAATGACAAAATCAACCCCACCAGTATTCAAATTTGGGCGTATTAGACCTGGGATATGGCATTCTCCAGAGTGGAGAACGTAATATTTCACTAATATTTCCCATTGTCAGGCCCCAAACTTGTCAAATTAGTTCTGGTGCTGGAATGTGTTTCTGCTTGATAAGAGAGTAACTAGGGAAAAGGCAAATGTGCATCAGGGTGAAGGAAGAGAATTTCCAACAGGAAAGAAAATTGAAAGGCAAGGGGATAAAGAGAAGAGGAAAGGGCCTCACAGCTTTGTAAACTTTGGTACTTCTGTAAATATATTAATAATATATTTTGTCGTAATTGTTAGGCATATTATGTCAATGTAAATAAAAAAAGTAATGTTCGTTTGTGGGATTAACATAACTCCAAAACCACTGGACAAATTGACACCAAATTTGGACACAATGCACCTATCAGGCCAACGAGTGACCATCGCTCATAAAAACTCTGAAAAACACAACAGAAGAGACTTTAAAAGTCAAAAAACAAAAAATGCATTACAATGCATGCGCATTATATATATACACAAACATACAAATATAGACACACACTTATACACACATATATACACACACAAAATACATATACACAGACTGGGCCACAGCAACGCGTGGGAAGGGATGGCTAGTTTATAATAAATATGTAAACTAAGCTTAAGCATTTTAACTTGCCCAACTTCCTAAGGAAAACATTAAAGTGAGATGGGGCATTGGTTTGTCTTAACTCAGGACATTCCCTAAGAATCATTTCTCAATCTGATGCCTTCTTGGAAATATAATGGATTGAGTTCTTTTGCATCCACAGCACATGGCTCATGGCTGAGCAAAGCTTACATTTGGGGTTTTTGAACTGAAACCTACCCTAAAGTTTGGGTTCCAGAAATGTTTGTGTCAATATGTGTAGAATATTTATTTATTTACAATATTTCTATCCTGCCTTTCTCAGTCCAAAGGCAGCTTACAAATTGGCAGCAATTTGATGCCATAGCAATCCACAATATACAATTAAAACATCTAAAACAACATTATAAAATCCATACAAAACTATTAAAACATATAATAACCAATGTCTTCCTGTTAATCTCATTTTCCAGTAGCATCGTCAAAGTCGTTCCATGTTTCAATCTTACATAATTCCGTGTTTGTCTGTTGCACTGCATTTCCAAAGGTTTTTAAAGATTTTCAAAGAGCCAGGTTTTTCCTTTTTTCTGAAGGTCAGAAGGGAGGGGGCTTATCTAATATCTCTAGGGAGGGAGTTCCACAGCCAAGGGGCTACCACTGAGAAGGCCCTGTCTCTCATCCCTACCAGAATACTGGGAGAAATATGCTTTTGCAATATATGACTATGTGGCTGCTACCTTTGGCATTGTAAATAATATGCAAAAAATACTTGTGCTTATACTTTGAGGAAATTCTAATAATTGTATTGAGGAGCTCTATGTTACCGAGCCTTCTGCAGTGGTAAAGGGGCTCCAGGGTACAGGGCTCAATCTATGGCATATAGCCTAAAAATAAGGGAGGTGAATACATTCTTTTCAAGAAGCTGTTGGGAAATGAATATATTAAAAGGCAATTATATTTCTAGCCAAGGGTTGAAAGTTATAACATCTCATTTTATATTTCATCTTCATCCCTGCAAGGAAGATTTTGGGGGAGAGAAGACAGTCAGTTGCCCAAGGCTGCTGAGTGATATGGGGCGAGGAAGGGAGGAATGTCTTCTCACACTTTTAAAGTTTTGTATTTGCATTTTGGGTGCTGGAGGCCAAAAATGTATTTTGAGTCTTCAATTGCTAGGGGTGCCTGATCATTTTCCCTTTCTGAAACCCAATGGAGTCATGCCCAACTCTTTCTCCCACTTGTTGCTTATGTGTACTGTATTTTAAAGTGGGAAGTGACAGCCCGTACAGAAGAGCATACTTTCAACTGATCTGCATGTGGAGTGGGTTTAGCAAGGTTGGAGACGTATTTGTGGAACCTTTGGCGAACTTCAGTCCTTCGGGTGTTTTGTACTTCAACGCACACAGTTCCTAACAGCCAGTAAGTTAACTGGGATTTCTGGGAGTTAAGTCCAAAACACCTGGAGGGCCTGAGTTTGCCCATTTCTGGTCTAGATGTTTTGAGTCAACTCTCTGAAGCCTCATCCAGCATGGCTAATAGGAAGGGATTGTGGGAGCTGTAGTATATGCCAGGGTGGCTTGAATCTTTTTACTAGGCCCAAGAAGTTTGTAAGTGAACCCATATATGGGTATATAAAATAGGTATAAAATCAGACATTTACTTGATAACAAATTAGAATTTGCAAGACTTGCTGAACAGGGTAATTTTCCTTCTTATGAAGTACAGGGTCCACTATGAACACTGGACAAAAATTCATGTAAATATCTAAAGCGGCCACTAGATCAGGCATGGGCAAACTTTTTAACTTGGGGTCTGCATGATGGGCCGGTGTGGGGTGGGTGGACTCCCTACCCTTTCCTCCCCTTCCTCTTCTCTTTTGGAGGACGAAAAAGATGGGAAACGTTTGAATCTCAAAAAGGTTAGCCTTGGTCAGGATGAGATGGTGGATGGGAGAGGAAAAGGTATATCCATTAGAATCCATCTTGCCTACTCCTGATCTAGAATCCTAGCACTGGAAGAGACCCCCAAGGGCCATCCGGCCCAACCCCTTGCCATGCAAGGAGGCACACTCAAGCACTCCCGTGAGACTGCCTCTGCAGAAAAGCCTCCAGAGAAGGAGGCTCCATCACACTCCAAGGCAACCTGTGCCACTTTCCAGCAGGAAGTTCTTCTTAATATTTTCAGTCAAATCTTTCTCTACCATTTGAAACCATTTCTGTTGTGTTGTTATTTGTTTTATCTGATGTTTTGATTGGTTAAAATGTTTTACATGTGTGTTTTAATCTTGGGCGTGTCCCTTGTAAGGTGCCCCGAGTCCCCTAGGGGAGATGGTTGGTGGGGTATAAAAATAAAGTTATTATTATTATTATTATTTCTCCCTTGTGCCCTGGTCTCTAGAGCATCAGAAAGTTACTCCCCCCTCAATGGGACACCCCTTTAAATCTTGAAACATGGTTCTCATGTTCCCGCTCTAGTTTATCTTCTCCCAGCTAAACATCCCCAGAAGGAAGGAAAAATAAAAGGAAGGAGGAAGAGAAGGAGGGAAGGAAGGGAAGGTGGAAGGGAATAGGGAGAGGGAGGGAGGAAAGAGAAGGAAGGAAAGACAAAAGGGAAGGAAGGAGAAAGAAAGGGAAAGAGGGAGGAAAGTGAGAGGGCAGGAAGGAAGGACAAAAGGGTGAAAAGGAGGGAGGGAGAAAGATGGAGGTAAAGGAGGAAGGAAAGAGAGAAGGAAGGATAGGATGGTGAGAGAGAGGAGGGCCTGAGAAAAGAGCATCCAGCCCCCAGGCCTGGGTTTACCATACCTGCACTAAGTGATGTTCAGAGAATAGATTTTTTGGGACTCCAACACTGAGCTAAAGGAACTTTGTTTGACATTGGGGCCCATAGTTTAAGAAGCAGTGGTCTCTAAGCCATTAGGTTCCACAGCTCATGGGACCTAACTGCCCAGTCCTAGTAAAACATCCCTGCTCTAGGAAGAGATCATGCTGCCTTGTAACAAAGTAGACTCATATCCTACCGTTTTGTTTCTGACATGAAACTTTAGACTTGAAGGGGGAAGCAAAAACAAAATTCAGCAATACAATTAAAGTGTACAGATACACCAAGAAACCCAACGATATCAACAAACAAGCAACAAGAAACAGACAGGAAGTTGAGGGCTATTTTTGAGATGAAGGGTGAAGTATTTTGGTGTGAATCAATGCATCCTACTAGCAGTGTTTGGCTTAGACATCTAAAAATAATTGAATAAAGCATCAATTTGATGAGATACACCTCTGTTTCCCTACCTAAATGTATCCCTATTTACTGTATATTAAAATGTTCTGTGAAGGGAGGGCCTTCTTTCAAAGACCTAAGCAAGTGGAGAGTTTTGTCTGTGAGGGTTTATAGATTGAAATCAGCACTGAATAGAGCTAGGAAACTCAAAACGAGTGAATATGGCAGAACATCAAAGTCCTGTCATCCAAAAAGTGGGCTCCAGTGAATACTTGAGCTGCTGTATTCTGAGCCAGTTGATATTTCCAACCATTTGTCAAACACCCTCCATCCCCCCGTTGCTAGGAGTAATCAAAGGCACATGTGAGAGTAAGCAGATAAAGCTGCTGCTTCTGCTGGAACAGATTAGATAGTGACTCTTGAACGAGTTGACCAGCATCATGCATTTCTCCTTCTTGAACAAGCTGACCTGCTTTATGTATTTCTCCTTCTTTCTATACAGCTAGTGTTCCATGTGCTGCTGGCCCCATCGAGAAGGCCAGCCGAAGTAAACCTCCTCGAGTGCGGCGGACATCTTCCCTGGACAATGTCCTTGGATCGTACCTCTTGGGTCAGTGGCCACGGGACGCTGATGGAGCTGCCATAGCACATATGAGTGACAAATCTACCCAGGTATCACAACTACCTTACAGAGGGTCAAACACTGGGACAGTAGCACAAGTCTCAGGTACAGTGTTGAAGCTGGATGAAGGCGAGTTACAAGCTGATTGAGATTCATTTTTTGTGTGTGTGGAGTTATATCCACAGAAGGCAGAGAGGAAGAAACCAGAATACATTGCTGTGTAAATACTGTCAGACTCTGGGCCCTTACACACAGTCCTATATCTCAGAATATCAAGGCAGAAAATCCCACAGTATCTGCTTTGTACTGGGTTATCTGAGTCCACACTGCCATATATCCCAGTTCAAAGCAGAAAATGTGGGATTCCATTCAGTTGTGTGGAAGGGGCCTCTGGTCCCATGTTTTGCTTCCTTAGTCCTACTTAGAACTTACTTGCTGAATCATAGTGAACATCTATCCCATCAGATAACATGTACTATGTTCCTTCCCAGAAACTTCTGGGAAGTCCACAAAAAGACCATGAGCATGTTAATACTCTTTCGTACGTGTTTGATAACAATTGGTATTCAGATGGATACTACTTCCATTATTTAGCTATTGATTATTTTATACTCCATGGATTTGTTTAACCATCACTTAAAGGCATAATCTTGTGGTGGTGAGTTCCATAGTTCATCTTGTTGTGTACCCTCAAGTCATTTCTGACTTATGATGACCCTCAGATGACTCTTTTTCCAGGTTTTCTGTGGCTAAGAGTGTGTGCCTTTCTCAAGATCACCCATTGTGGTTTTATGGCGGAGTGGGGATTTGAACCTTATTCTCCAGAGTTGTAGTCCAATGCACAAAGCACTACACTACTCTGACCCTGAATGCTGTGAAGAATTCAGCTGCACACTGTGAATTAAATTTCTTTGTTAGCCCCAAATTTCCTGCCATTTAACTTCAATTGATACTCATTTGGAGTATTTTTAAGGTGCAGGAGAAATTTCTTGATCTATTTTTCCCTCTATTCCTCCTTTTAAACATCATCATGCTACTCCTCACCTTTTTTGAGTTAAAGAGCTCCAAACATTTCCTCATAAGACATTTGCTGCAGCTTCTTGATTTTTTTCAGCAATGTCCTTAAACTTGGCACATAACTTGTAAACTAAAGTATCCTCAAATTGCAGTCCTCCAACTATTTGGGCCTCCCAACTCCCGAAAGCTCTGGCCAACTTGTTCAGTGGCCAGGAACTCTGGGATTTGGTAGCCCAAACAGCTGGAGAGCTACCTCCGTCTCTGCTAAACCAGCCATAAACTATAACATATGCTAACATTTAGGATATATTATTTTTATTAGAATCCTGGAGTCTACCTGGAACCTCTTGTGAGTACCAGAAATGAATGATGTACTCACTCATACAGGAAAAAAATGGTTTCTCCAAGCTTTGCTCATTTCAGGAGTATATCTTTAGGAAATGTCTTCATTTCTGCTGTAATAGAATAATTGGGTGCTGATCTACAACCAGTTACACAGAACTTTACCAGTCTATCTAGAGCAGTGGTTCTCAACCTGTGGGTCTCCAGGTGTCTTTGCCCACAACTCCTAGAAATCCCAGTTTACCAGCTGTTAGGATTTCTGGGAGTTGAAGGCCAAAACCTCTGGGGACCCACAGATTGAGAACCACTCATCTAGAGCTAACCCTCTACTTTCCTCTAGAGCAGTGCTCACTTTGTCAAATGGAAGGCAGTGAAGAGGGCTACAGACCATGAAAGTTTCCCGTGATATTTGTTAGTTCTTTCATCTATTAATGATTTTGACGAATAAGTGCTATGGTGCCCTTCCCAGTCCGCCCAGTCCACTTGCTGATCTCAGTGTCCTCTTCATGCTGGTTATCAGTGCAAGAGATGTGTATTCATTGCTCTTATTCAGATGTGCACAAATTCTAAACCTTGAGGTAGCTATCAGTTTTTGGATTGCAAGTCATTTCATCTCTGGACCACATAGCCAGTAGTGTAGAATTCTAGGAGCTGCAATCCAACATCTAGTCGGTCATTTCCCTTGTTCATCCTTTATTAGACACTCGAAACAGATTACAATAATTAGTAAACAAATGTAAAATATCGTTCAGTGCCCTGATTTCTAACATGTAATAACATCAGTGTATGTAAACAAAAATATCATTACTATATTGATCTTAGTTGAAAGATAGAAGAGACATTTAAACAATAAATAGCTAATCATATTTGATACAGGTCCAGCATAATTGAATGCTCTATACCAGTGTTTCTCAACCTGGTGTGTCACGAGGGGATGTCAGAGGGGTTGCCAAAGACCATAAGAAAACACAGTATTTTCTGTTGGTCATGGGGTTTCTGTATGGGAAGTTTGGCCCAATTCTATCATGTGGGGAGGGGGTCAGAATGCGCTTTGATTGTAGGTGAACTATAAATCCCAGCAACAGCAACCCCCTCATGCCAAGGTTTATTTTCCCCAATCTCCACCAGTGTTCACATTTAGGCATATTGAGTATTTGTGCCAAATTTGGTCCATAATCAATGTTTGAATCCACAGTGCTTTCTGGATGTAAGTGAACTACAACTCCAAAACTCAAGATCAGTGCCCACCAAGCCCTTCCAGTATTTTCTGTTGGTCATGGGAGTTCAGTGTGCCAAGTTTGGTTCAATTCAATCATTGGTGGAGTTCAGAATGCTCTTTGATTGTAGGTGATCTCTAAATCCCAGCAACTACAACTCCCAAATGACAAAATTAATCCCCTCCCAACACCACCAGTATTCAAATGTGGCCATATTGGGTATTTGTGCCAAATTTGGTCCAGCGAATGAAAATACAGCCTGTATATCAGATATTTACATGATGATTCATAACAGTAGGAAAATGACAGTTATGAAGTATCAAAAAAATTATTTTTTATGTTTGGGAGCCACCACAACATGAGGAACTGTATTAAGGGATCCCAGTATTAGGAAGGTTGAGAACCACTGTTCTATATATTAAAAAAAGAAATAAATGGAAAGAAGCTTAATGATCATGGTATCCCTTTGCCTGGTAAATACTTTGCCCAGCCTTCTGTTACTCCTGTGGTTCTTGGCACTATAGCAAATCAAATCAGACAAAAAATCTTGGAGAAGTCCTATAACAGTCCTCATAAAATATGTGCATCCAACCTTAAACCCAAGAAAGTTTATTTCATCCTAAGTGGTAAATATAACTTCTATATAAAGTAGATATTGGTCATATTTCAGAGTAACTCTCCTGATGCCCTGCACATGAATATATCACAGCAGGAATGTCTTTTTCTTTTGTCTCTAGCTTTCTAGGGAAGGCTTTCCATGTGGTGTTTATGTCAGTTTCAGGCAATGCTTGACTTTCCCTTGGCTTTTGTTACAGAGGCAGCTGGCCTTTGGCACTTTCTTTCTGGAATGGGCTCACTGCTACAGGCTTTATTTTTTCATCTTTACTTGCTGCTCTGGGCCAAACCCCTTATATAATGTTCGTGGGCCCGGTGCCATGCGCTGCTTTAAAAATGACTCTTGCAATGGAAGAGCTTGCTCAGCACAAGGCATGTGTGCTCCCGGATGAAATGGGAAGCCTCCAGCCATCGAGGAACCCTTAGCAACCTCTAAATATTTCTAGAGAGCAACAAACAGTCCTTCTGAGACAATAGGATGACTTCAGCTATTTAATTAGGAGACAAATTTAACATTTTTAATTGCACTACAGAGATACACGCATGGAACAAAACTAGGGGTGCATGATCAATGGCCAGATAAGTCATGTTCGCAGTTGTAGTGTTACTGTTTCTTCTGTGACTTTGGATGAAGAGAGGTGCTCTAACTAGTTGCAGCTTGAAATGCTCTGAATCCCTGTAACTTCCGTAAAAAAGTTAACAGCACCACTAAAATGTGTAATAGCAGCATGTTGTTAACACGGCACATCCAGACTGATGGCATGCTAGATTGGAAAAACAAATGTGTATTACTTGGCAATCCGTAGCCATAATGTAGTCATTGGGCAAGCTTCCCTGAGGATAGAATTTTAGAGCTGTGGTGCCATCACCAAAAGTACTTCTCATCACGTCCGGACTTTAGTTTTCACTCTGGTGACAAATCTGCACCTAGGCTGTATTATTTCAGACTATATGTGGTGGCACATGTGACTGAATAAGTATGTCTTTTTCTGTTTCTCTAAAATAATTACATATTTATCTGAAATGGGAGCATGTATCTATCTGTCAAAGACATTGTGAGACTTGGCTCTGACATCATCCTCAGACTATCCTGTGACTATGTACCTTGAGATTGTTGGGGTTTGTTAAGGCATTATATCAACTTAAATGTGATGGTATATTTGAGTTTGACTGCTACCTTCAGTTTCTAGGTGGCAGGTTTCACCAATCATTGCATAGGTTTTCTGTTGATACAGTGTGAAGAGCATTAGAGAGTGGTCCAGGGTACTGTAGGGGGTCCACCACCATAGGCCCATAGTTGGAAGTGTCATCAGCCTAGTGTTTATCCAGATAGGTAGAAATAATCTAAGATGATTAACTGCATTATCTGTTTCATGGTTTGGATATTAGACTAAAGGACTACTCCAGTCTGTTCAATCTAGCTTTACTAATACATATTTTAAATCTTCCTCAGGTTTCCCTAGTCTTTGAGAAAACATTACTTTCTAGCCACTCTGGTGAGGTTTTGTACAGTGGCATCACATCCATGTTGCTGTTTGTCCCTAGAATAACAATTGATTTAGACCAGCCTCCCCTAGCCAAGTGCCCTATGGAAATGTGGGACTGTAGTTCCCATCATGCCCAGTCAACATGGGAATTATTGAAGAAGGCTAAAACAGATTGTAATAAGCACAGGCCATAGACTCCATTCAGAAGGCATCAGAGTAGCTAGAAATCCCAAGATTTCCCTGACTTGCTAAAGTAGTAGTAGTAGTAGTAGTAGTGGTAGTGGTAATAATAATAATGACAAAAACAACAACTTTATTTCTAGACCGACCTCTCTCCCCAAAGGGACTCAGGGCGGTTTACAGACACAAAACAAAAGGCAAACATTCAATGCCTCAAATGAATACAAACACACCAAAATAATGCACGATAATGCACAGAAACAACAGTAAACTTACAACGAAGAATTAAGCTACGAGATGAAAATAATAAAAAACAATCCAATAAGACACCATAAACTAAAACATGAGTAAAACATTACAACATATACCCTAAAAGCAATTATGATACAATTACATCAAAATGGCTTTAAATTAGCTAACACCAGTATTCATTTAAGATGTATCGTAGCAGCCATAAAATACAAGTGGGTTACTATTTCCCTCTTTGTGCAATAGCAAGGTAAATGTCAGCAGACCCATCTCAATATCTTGTGTTTTGTGGACACCTTGACTCACTTTCTTGTGTGAACAACACAACCTTGAAAGAGATTTGAGGCACATCTTCCCTACACTTTGCCTGATCTTGTGATTTCAAATGTAGCTGTTTCTCAAATAATTTTCCTCTCTTTTCTGACTTTAATCATATTAAGATTCCACCAAAACATTGAGAAGAACTATTCTGGCAGTGGAATAGATTGTCTTGGAGGGTAGTTAAAGATCTCTTCAGAGGTCCTTAACAGAAAGTGGATGGGCATCTTTCAGGATGCTTTAGCTGTGTATTCCTGCATGGCAGTTGTGGTCCTTTCCAAATGTAAGATTCGGTCATCCTGTGATTCTCTCCTCCTTTCTTGTTAGGAGGAAGCTGTTTGAGCGCTATCAGAAACGTGCCTTTGTAAACTGCCTACCACTCTACTGAAGTCTTGTTCTTGAGGACATAGTACATGATACAGAATAAAGAACTTCTAAGACTAGCTTGAACATACCTTAAAGGTTGAAATCTTGCACCCATATATATTCCTGTTGAGCCAAGTTCATCTAAGATTTGCTGCAGTAGAGTTTCATGTACTGATGAACAAATAGAACGCCTTTATATTGTTTTCTATGGAGTTTGCTAAAAGAAATTGCTGGAAGAAACATTAACAACCTTAGATATGCAGATGACACCACTTTGATGGCCGAAAGCGAGGAGGAGCTGAGGAGCCTTCTAATCAAGGTAGCTGTTGATTAGAAGCGCAAAAGCTGGGTTGCAGTTAAACATAAAAAAGCCCAAGATTGTGGCAACAAGAATGATTGACAACTGGGAAATAGAGGGAGAAAACATGGAGGCAGTGACAGACTTTGTATTTCTAGGTGCAAAGATTACTGCAGACGCAGACTGCAGCCAGGAAATCAGGAGACGCTTACTTCTTGGGAGGAGAGCAATGTCCAATCTCGATAAAATAGTGAAGAGTAGGGACATCACACTGGCAACAAAGATCCGCATAGTTAAAGCAATAGTATTCCCTGTAGTCACCTACGGATGTGAGAACTGGACCATAGGGAAGGCTGAGCAAAGGAAGATAGATGCTTTTGAACTGTGGTGTTGGAGGAAAATTGTGAGAGTGCCTTGGACCACGAGAAGATCCAACCAGTCCACACTTCAGGAAATAAAACCTGACTGCTCATTGGAGGGAAGGATATTAGAGGCCAAGATGAAGTACTTTGGCCACATCATAAGAAGAAAGGAACGTTTAGAGAAGACAATGATGCTGGGGAAAATGGAAGGAAAAAGGAAGAGGGGCCGACCAAGGGCAAGATGGATGGATGGCATCCTTGAAGTGACTGGAGTGACCTTGAAGGAGCTGGGGGTGGTGACGACCGTCAGGGAGCTCTGGTGTGGACTGGTCCACGAAGTCATGAAGAGTCGGAAATGACTGAACGAATGAACAACAACAACATGGAGTTTGCAGGGCTGTAGCAATCACTGATTTTCCTTTCAAGCAGTAGAGAGATAAACTGCAAACTTAACTTGGTTTTTCATTGCAGTGTGATGGGGTTTTCCCATTAGGGCCTGAGGTATGCAACAGCTCTTCACAACCCAGTCTGGTGGCAGTTTTTGGGGCATTGTGGTCAGGGGATTTCTCTTGCAAATAACATGAAACACCGGTTCTGTATGGCACTTCCATTCTGTTATAAGTTTCATTACCCCCAGGACAAAAACTCTATAGTTAGAAGGCATTTTCACCCCACAAATTTGAAGGAGCTACCTTCAAATTACCCTATTCTGGGTTTTTCCTCTTGCCTCCAAAGCATTTATTAAATGTTAAAGTGATAATTCTTCACCGAGAATTAACCCAACACATCTAGCCATCCGTTCTTCTCTTGGCATGGAAAGGTGAGGGCCTTTGGCATCCTGCATTGAGCAGGATGTCTGAAGAGCTTCTCCAGGCAGCTCAGCTTCCAGCACGTGCAAAGTTGTGCCAGTTGCTAAGTGATTTTTCAAGGCTCTGTACTCTTTATTATGGGAACATTCTCCCGGAGGGCTGTTTTTAAAGAGCAACGAGACTTCCATTTTCCTAAAGCTTCTCCAAAGAGGCCACTCTGGCTGCTTGGAAAGCAACTTAACATTGCCTTGGCAGTTTATCTAGTGGAGGCCTAAACTTTGTCACTTAATAGCTTTGTCTATATTACATCTTGTCCAACTGAAGCTGATCTTGAAGGCTGCCTGGAGAGAGGGAAGTACACTATGTTTTAGGAACTCATCCACCTGGACTGTCAGCAGGCATCTTTGGTTTGTTTCATCTTAAAAGCTTCTTGTAGATTGGGAGATTTGTTTGAGTTATGTTGGCTTGGGGATTCAAGGTGGAGGAATTCAAAAAGTAATATGTTGAAGCTCGACCAGGGATTCTCAAAATTTTAAAGCCTTGGGTCGGTTCGCAGTCCCTCAGACTGTTTGGAGGACAGACTATAGTTTGAAAAAAAATTGAAAGAATTCCTATGCACATTGCAGATATCTTACTTGTATAGCAAAAACATGAAATAATACAATATTTAAAATGTAGAACAATGTTACCCAACATAAACATACCAGTATTTCAGTAGGAAACATGAGTCTGCTTTTGGCTGATGACATAGTCAAGTTCAATGGATTGTCGAAGGCTTTCATGGCTGGAATCACTGGGTTGTTGTAGGGTTTTTTTCGGGCTATATTGCCATGTTCTAGAGGCATTCTCTCCTGATGTTTCGCCTGCATCTATGGCAAGCATCCTCAGAGGTTGTGAGGATGCTTGCCATAGATGCAGGCAAAACGTCAGGAGAGAATGTCTCTAGAACATGGCCATATTGCTGTTTCAATACATTGCGATGTTTTGGTGCTAAATTTGTAAATACAGTAATTACTATATGACGTCACCGTTTATTGAATGGCTATTTCTGTCTATTTGTTGTAAAACATGATGTTTTGGTACTTAATTTGTAAAATCATAACATAATTTGACGTTTAATAGGCTTTTCCTTAATCCCTCCTTATTATCCAACATTTTCTCCTATCCAACGTTCTGCCAGCCCAATTATGTTAGATAAGTGAGACTCTATCGTAGTAGTATTTCTGTGTAGTAAAGCACTGAACATGCTTGCATGTTTTAATGTATGGACAATTGGCAAGATCTCCTTTGCATTGAGCTTTTCATAAATGTAGTCATGATTGGCCAGAGCTTCCTATGTGGCATAGGGAAAGACAGGGTATAAATCAAATGAATGTTGACAATAACCATGAGCATGAAACTATACTATCTTTCTTATATGGAAATGAGACAGATTTTTTTTTAAGGCAGTTCTTGGGCATGAAGTTGCTTGTTTTCAGAACGACTCTTTAAGGGCAAAGCTGCCATGTTGGTAGTACCTTTTTTTTAAGGTTGTGAGAGTCATGAAATGGTCAGTAACCAAGGAACCTTTTTTCTGTTTGCAGACTCCTGTATCCTGGCATGACACAGGGATGGGGAGAGCAACGGTCCATAAGCGTTCTGCCTCATGGAGTAGTGTAGATCATCGCAGAGAGGTGAGAGATCTGCTTGGCAACTCCAATAACATTGGTCTTCAGTTGCACAATCTGCAAATGAAATAAAACTGCCAAAAAGACATGTTGCCATAGTGCTTTCATTGTGATTATCCAAGAAATGCCAGATCCACGATGTAATACAAACTGGCCAATCATTTCATTAGGGAGGTTGGACCTTTGTGCCGGCAGGACTGAAGACCAACAGGTTGCAGGTTCGAATCCGGGGAGACCGCGGATGAGCTCCCTCTGTCAGCTCCAGCTCTCCATGCATGAGAGAAGCCTCCCACAAGGATGGTAAAACATCAAAACATCCGGGTGTCCTCTGGGCAATTTCCTTGCAGACAGCCAATTCTTTCACACTAGAAGCGACTTGCCGTTTCTCAAATTGCTCCTGACACACACACACACACACACAAAATAAAATCCCTGGAGTGGGGAAATGTGGAAGCAAATGTTATGAAACAAATAATGTTGCTTAGAAAGATCGCACATGGCGATCAAAAGTACCAGATTTGACAGTAGCAGAGAGGATTGATACTTGAACTGAACTGTCACTTATGGTTCCAGTAATAGGAAATGCACAGGGTCAGAATCATACTTCTTCAGCTGTGCCATATCAGAGCGATATTGACGCTGCCACTGGATACCTTTATTTTAAAAATGGGGAATGTTTCATGTTGCCCATCTGGAGTACAATTCTGGGATCATACCCTCCTCCCCACTTTTACATATCCTGAATTTTTGTAACATCCTTTACAGGATGCACAATGCAGTAAATTTCTAATAAGAGCACTGCAGTGGTAGGAAGATGTTTCAGGACTTTCTGTAGGAACCACCATCTTCTGTGCTGGTAACAGATGTATTTATTCATTGTAATGTATTTTAATAGTTAAAATGAAATCCCACACTTCCTCCAGTGAAATCCAGACAGCATTTATGTGACTTTTTATAACCCCTATTGTGAGACAAAGTATTTTGAGAGTGTGTGGTTCAAGACGAGTTTCCAAACTCAACGGTAAACTAAAGCCTGAATCCCCCAAGCTCCAATCCCCTACTCTATCACAATTAAAGTTGTTAAGTGAATTTGTTGATTTTTGCTTTGTAATCATCTAATTTGACAGTTAGTCTAAAAGACCTGTACCCTTGCAAAATTACCACCAAAACCGGAAGGCAAAATTGTGAAGAATAGATAGCTGTATACTGAATAAATACTAAACTCCCCCAACTTCTTATTTCCTAGATTGCTAAACTGAAGCAGCAGCTCCAACGAACAAAGCTGGGTGCCTACCACAGCAGAGAGAAAGACCAGAGCTCCCCAGTTCAGGGGGATCATACTCTGCTTTCATCGGCCAAGGTATAATCGAAATCTTCCTTTTCTCTTACTCTTATGCAAAGAGGTAGTTATAAAGTAAGGTTATATGTGTGTTATCCCTGGAAATATGTTGTGTGTTGTTCCAGTCTGTATGGCCATGTTCCAGAAGCGTTCTCTCCTGACGTTTCAGCCACATCTCTGGCAGGCATCCTCAGAGGTTGTTGGAAACTAGGAAAATTGGGTGTATATATCTGTGCAATGTACAGGGTGGGATAAAGGACTCTTGTCCGTTTGAGGCAAGTGTGAATATTGCAATTGGCCCCCTTGATTAGCATTGAATGGCTTGCAGCTTCAAAGACTGGCTGATTGCTGCCTGGGAAAATCCTTTGTTGGGAGGTGTAATAACTGTGTAGATGATTCCAGGCTTTTTTCATTGGATTATCTCCTAGTTAAATGGGCTTAGAATATACCTTTTCCAGGTTTTTTTAAAGTGTATGTGTGTCTGTGTGTCAGGGGAAGGGAAGGAATTATCCTGCCTATGTGGACCTCAATACTAGGCAGACCCCCTTAATCTTGTAGGGTCTGAATTCTTTATAGATTCCAAATTTGACCACTAGTGGCAGAGAGTTCTGGGCTGGGCAGACCAATACAACTTCTCAAGGTACCCTTATGTGTTGATAACAGGCTTCGGGCTGGGACTAGCACACTAAGTCCTGTTTACTGCTGAGGGTAATATTTTTTTTCTTTTTGCACAGAACTATCAGTCACTTCTTTACCAAGATATTGGATGTTCTTGTTTGTAGGCTTCACCACCAGCATCCTTTCCAGTCTTCGCCACTGTATCAGCCAGCTCCTGTTTGCACAACAGTTTTGATGCTATCAATCAGGAATTGGAAGAGGTGTTTGTCAAGGAGCAAGGAGATGAGGAGCTTCTCAGAGTGAGTTATGGCTGACAGGAGCAAGACATCCTGAGAGAAGCCAAAATTGTGCCTAATCTGAGATGCCACTTTTGCTATTCAAGCCACCTTTGCATTGCTAGTATAAATATAGTGTGATCTCGCCTCACTTTGCACTCATTGAAATGCAACATCTTGAAATTTTCAGACTCTTTTAACAAGGGCAGAATCTGATCAATGGCATGTCATATGACTGCACCATACATTGTCAGTTCAGAATACATTTCATTTGCTTTTGTTCTGTCAAACTAGAAGATGAGGTGTGTACTCAAAAAGGCAAAAAACATGCTGTCATCTTTTCCTAACCCCAAATAGTAGACATTTCTATATGAGGAACTCGTAGAGGAAATGCTTCCCTTTGCTTTTTCCTTTTCTCCACATGCTGTAATTTTCACCCATCGTTTCAGGCTGCCAAAGAGAAAGTGCTAAAAAGTGGAATGACAGTACAGGCTTATCCGGCCTTCGCTTAACCAACATTCCATCTTATCCGACCCCGCCCCCTCGCCCCCGCCCCCCTATTCGCCAGCATTTCCTCTTCAATTAAAGGAGCGCTCCCCAACTCTCTCTCCAATCCCAATAAAGGAGGGAGGAAAGGGGGGGGGGGAGAGGCAGAACTGGAAGCGGAAGCGTCCTCCCTCCTTCCCGCTGTGATTTCCACACTCCTCTTCCACATCAGGGCATTTCCTGCTGGACCGCTCTAGCCCTGAGGGGTTGCCTTGCCTTAACCCTTTGAGTCTCTGTTGTTAGTATTCTAGGTGTCTAGTGCCATGTCAGACAGGTAACAGGAGACTCAGTATTATTCGACATTTTTGCGTAACCGACATTCTGCCAGCCCGTTTATGTTGGATAAGCAAAACTTTACTGTATTAGTTTTTGATAAAACACCATTCACATTTAGGTTCTCTTTTCTGTTAACGTTTTCTATTCCAGCTGTTCAGTATTCATTGACTGTATGAGAACTGATAACAGTGTGCTTGTTCTAATTCTTTTTTACGTTATGTTGTATTCTGTTTTTGGTTATAGGTGTATTTAGTTATTTATTTGCGCCATTCATATTCCGCCCTTCTCACCCTGAAGGGGACTCAGAGCAGCTTACAAGTAATATGTACATACAATATATTATATTATTACCATAGCACAATATTAGTGTTATAAATTACTATATTGTACTATACTATTATACTGTAATATTATTAGTAATATTATATTTAATATAAAATATTATTCTTAGTATTATATTCTACTACATTATAATATTATCAATATTATATGTATATACAATATATTATATTATTAGCACAGTGCAGGAGACAAGATGGAACTGTTTTCCTGGCTCCCTCTCTTCACTCTGGTCCCAGAGTGGCAGTTGGTGCTGGAGGGAGGGGCTCCCAACTGATGACACAGGAGACAAGATGGAACTGTCTTCCTGGCCCCTCTCTTCACATTCATATGGATAGGGAATGTCTTGTGAGCTTATGTGAAAGCCTTTCTAGCCAAAATACAGGAACCAGTAGTCATTTTTATCCCGTTCTCTCCTTTGGTCTGAGCACTCCTCCTTGCCTCTTCATCCTTAAGAGATATCTTCTTTTCTTCTAGATTCTGGATGTCCCTGATGGCCACAGAGCCCCAGTCCCACTCCAAGGAGCCACTAGAGACTCATTGCTGCCACCAGTGGAGCATAGCAGTAGCAGCTGCAGCAGCCTTTCTCTTTCTCCGTCCCCTTCAGCCACACACAGACGATCCCCACATACTCCTGCTCGCACAGCAGCTGAGGAGCACTCCCCTGGTGTGATAGAGAAGCCATTGCTGGAGACAAAGGCAAAAGGTAAACCTTATTGGGTCACCACTAGCTTTCAAGGCTTTGTTGCTCCAGATTGCCTTTGATCTTCGGCAGCATGAGAAGTCGTCTGGGGTCTGGACGCTATAAGTTATATTTTCAGAAACTTGTAAAGTTGCCATTGAAACAGTAAAGAGGGTGATTGAAGGCAAACATCAGAACACAGCACACCTGATGTATCTTACTTTCATATGAGGTATGAAATCAAGTACCACATAGACTCAAGTATAAGCCAAGTTTTTCAGGCCTTTTTTTAGCCTGAAAAATCTCCCTCAGCTTATACTTGAGTCAAGGTTATTTGTTATTTTACTCTATTATTGTTATTATTATTATTACATTTATTATTTTTCTCTATTGTTATTACATTTATTATTTTACTTTATTATTATTATTATTATTATTATTACATTTATTGTACTCTATTTATTATTACATTTAATATTATACTCTATTTTTATTATTACATGTATTATTTTACTCTATTACTGTTTTTATTACATTTCTTATTCTACTCTATTATCATTTTTATTATTTTAGATATTTTTATCCCGTCCTTTTCAATCTCCGAAGGGGGACTCAGGGTGGCTCACAATTGGCAACCATTAGATGCCGACACACAAACAATAAGTAAAAACAGTTTGACATTAAATAAACAAGAATTATAAATGCATTAAAATAGTAACGATTAAAATATTACGATACTACCAAGCCTGTGTCCTCAAATCCATATTGCATTTACTATTTTACTCTATTATTACACTTATTATTTTACTCTATTTTTATTATTTACTTTATTAATATTGTTATTACATTTCCATTATTTTACTCTATTTTTATTATTACATTTATTATTTTACTCTTTTATTACTGTTATTACATTTCCATTATTTTACTCTTATTATTATTATTATTATTATTATTATTACATTTAGTATTCTACTCTATTATTATTGGAAGGATACGTAAGCACATTTATAAACAAAAGTGTTAGAAGAATGGTTTAATCAGATGGACAGTCTTTTCTTAAATTACAGTTTTATGTAAATATTAAAAAAAATAACTTACTGATGCCTCAATTAATGTAATTTTATTGGTATCTATTTTTAATTTTGAAATTTACCAGTAGCTACTGTATTTTCTTCCCTCACCTTACACTCGTCAATAAGTTTTCCCAGTTTTTTGTGGTAAAATTAGGTGCCTCGGCTCATATTTGGGTCAGCTTATACTCAAGTATATATGGTAAATATAAACTAAAATAAACCAGCCCACCCTACTTTAGTTTTTCCGTGGATGATTGATCCTTCCTTGGTTTCCTTCGGAGCGAGAAGGGTGGCATATAAATGTCATAAATAAATAAATTACTGGCTTTGAAAAGGAAAGAAAGCATTACGAATATGTAGTGAAGCGGTAAATCTGATACAGGAAATAGAGATCAGAGTCTGCAAAGGAAGCTGTAATTTCTAATGCAGTGTGAGCTATTTTTTCTCTAGACAATGATTCACTGACTATAATCCTGCTCTAAAACTGATCAAAGTTGTGAGTTTTTTTATTGCTTGAGGGCTGTTCTAATGCCTGAAGCACTGTTGGAGATTATCACTGTGAGGGTTGAACTTCAGATAAAACCTTCTGCCCTTGGGCTGTAATGAGGCTCTTGGGTAACCAAATCAGTGGTTTGTAAAGAATTCATCGGATTATTTTTTGGCTAATACATATCCACAAAGGATGTGTTAGATTGATTTATAGATTATGCTGCTGTCTAAAGTTCCATAAATCTTGACAGTGTCAGATATTGATACTTCATTGTATACGAGTTTCTCTTCACTTCTGCATTTGGTTAATGTCTCATATTGAATACAAGTCTTCCTGTGCTTTTTCTTTGGGCCAGAAAACAGCAGTACTTCACCAGTTCTTGCCTTCGCTCTCTCTCCTCGTCCAAATCATACCTATGTCTTCAAGCGAGAACCTCCAGAGGGTTGTGAAAAAGTCCGTGCCTTTGAGGAAGTGGTGTAAGTAGGACATTTAGCTTCTGTCATACCACAGCGAGCCTAAATGCTGAAATTGATTTTTTTACAATGCTAACTTCCTCCTATAAAAGTTGGTAGATATCATTATAGAAAAGGTGCAATTCCTAAAGTATTTTGTTGCAACTTGTTTATCCCATCTCTTCTCCAAGGAATTCATGGCAACTTAAACCTCTTTATCTAGACATCAACTCTGTGAAATTAGTTTCGATTGAGTGAGAAACTTATCTAAAACTGATAAAATAAGGGGATAACAAGCTTCTAGATAATTTTAGCCCAAAAACGGGCAACAGAGACTGCATTGTCTGTAGCTTTAAACAATTCTTCCTCTGTACATGAGGCAGGGCATTGTGGGCAAGCATATAGATATGGTGTTTGTTCTGCTCCTCAGTCACACAAGGTGGAGGATTCTTCTAGGTCAGTGGTTCTCAACCTGGGGTCCCCAGATGTTTTTGGCCTTCAACTCCCAGAAATCCTAACAGCTGGTAAACTGGCTGGGATTTCTGGGAATTGTAGGCCAAAAACATCTGGGGACCCCAGGTTGAGAACCACTGTTCTAGGTAGTGCCATTTTGCCAGGTTGTCTTTTGATCTGCTAACTCCACTTCCAAGTTGCCCAGTCTTGGTTTGCTCCTGTAGGAAGACCCTCGTAGGGGGCCACCCAGTTGGAATTTCCTGATTTTGCTGCCCACGGGGATATTCTTGCTGTTGCTGGTGGAATATTTAGAGAGCTGGTGGTTCCCATGAAACTTCTCTTTGTTTTAAGTCTACTGGGAGGAGGCTGACAGCCATATAGTGGGTGGCTTTCACAGTGTTCAACTTTAGAGACTGACTGATCCAAAGCTACCTAACCAGTTTTATGATTCCGTGGAAATTTGAACTTGCGTCTTTCAAGTATTAAATTTGACATGCCAAAGGCGAATTCCTCTTAATAACAAATATTACCAATATGCTTGACACAGTAAAGAAAGACCAGTTCAGAATCCTTTGTGAAACTCAAACTTGTCCAGTTGTGACAGCCAGGTGATCCTTTTGAATATCATCTGACTATTTCTGAACAGGGCCTGAGATAAACACTTTCTGCCACCTGTCTTTCTGTTTGCCCGACTGCAGGCAGGTGTAGATGTTATGCACAAAAACTGATACTGGTATATCCGGGTTAAAAGATTGTTACTAGATCCATAGACATGATAATTGCAGGGGTTTTTTGTGCACTTACATCAGCCCAGTGACAAGCCAATGGGCATTGATTGAACCCCTCACAAAAAAGGGTTAGGAAGTTTTATACTGTATAACGATTGTAGCGTTTCATACACTGACAGGTTTCTACTTTGGAAATATTTGTTGCATAAAATGCTTATATCTTCCTCTTTGTGGCTTCCTCCACATTAACATGTTTTCCCTTACACCAGTGGTTCTCAACCTTCCTAATGCCGTCACCCCTTAATACAGTTCCTCATGTTGTGGTGACCCCCAGCCATCAAATTATATTTGTTGCTTCTTGAGAACTGTAATTTTGCTACTGTTATGAATCTGAGTGTAAATATGTGATACTTAGAATGTATTTTCATTCACTTGACCAAAATTGGCACAAATACCCAATACACCCAAATTTGAATACTGGTGAGGTTGGGGGGAGACTGATTTTCTCATTTGCGAGTTTTAGTTGCTGGGATTTATAGTTAACCCAGTAAGTGTGCTCCTGACAACGACAGAAAAATATTAGTTAACCTACAAACAAAGAGCATTCTGAACTCCACCAAAGATGGAATTGAACCAGTCTTGGCACACAGAATTCCCATGACCAACAGAAAATACTGGAAGGGTTTGGTGGACATTGACCTTGAGTTTTGGAGTTGTAGTTCATGTACATCGAGAGCATTGTAGACTCAAACAATGATAGATCTGGAGCAAATTTGGCACGAATACTCAATATGCCCAAATGTGAACACTAGTGCAGCTTGTGGACAACAGACCTTGACATTTGGGAGTTGTAGATGCCAGGATTTATAGTTCACCTATAATCAAAGAGCATTTTAACCCCCACCAACAATAGATTTGAGCCAGTGTACCCACACAGAACCTCCATGACCAACAGAAAATACTGTGTTTTCTGATGGTCTTTGGCAACCCCTCTGACACCCCCTTGCAACCCCGCATGAGTCCCGACCCCCAGATTGAGAAACACTGCCTTACATGTAGTATCCAGAAACACAAAGGACTTATAAAGGGCCCATTCCCAGCTTTTGAAAAAGCCATTGGCCATTACGGCTGAGAGATTCTGGGAACTATAGCAAAAAACAAACTTTTATGAGTATAATCTCTACTAATATTCCTGTGTTTCAGTGCAGCATATTGTACCACAGTCAAAGATTTAAAGCCCTGGACGGTAATAATCACATGTATTCCTAACTCTTTTTCATTGTGATTTCTTCCTGTAGGCCACCAAGCCCAGACCAGCCTTTCCAGCCCTCTTGTCCTGATAAAAACAAAGTCCATTTCAACCCAACTGGCTCTGCTTTTTGCCAATTCAGCCTTGTGAAACCACTTATTCCCAGTGTAGACTTCCTCTTCAGAGACTTCTCCACTTCTAGTCCTCTGCCAGCAGGTACATTTTCTACATGCCAGCCCACTTCCACAGTCCCGGTCCTTAGTTTGCAGAAAGACTCAAGAGGAGACAACTTCAATGAAAATCCTCCATCACCTCCGCTGGGCTTGGAGTCATGGAAGCGGCATCAAGCCGAAGACACCGTCCTCTTCCACAGCTCTCTGGTTGCCTGAAATTTAGGGGAATAGGGCAGAGCCAAGGCAAATCTGTGGTCCCTCTATGACTGGTGGAGAAGAGTGCCTTGAAACCGGGAAATTGAGCACCCCCAGGTTACAGGTGCTCTCAGTGACAGCCTTAGAAGTGTAGATTGCCACTATGTTCTCTTACAGCCACAGCCGGCTTTTCCTTGGACTCGCCATTCTGATAGCACTTCCTTTCCCAATGAGTTTGTGTCAGTTGTCCTTCTGCTACTGCAGTGTCCAAAGAGCACCTACGCTTCTCTAAGGGGATACATGCACTATTCGCCACCAGGCTTTGTCTTTCTCTGCTTGCTTGCTAAAGCAAGAATTCACTTATAGATTTTTTTTTTAAAAAAAGAAAGATCTTAAGAGTGTCTCTCAGGCTTCCCACAGGATAGAAAATATGAAAGAGTTTACATATAGTCAGAGCTAGTGTACACTAGTTTGACAGATGACTGCAGGGTAGGAGTAGAACAAGGCAATCAGTTTCCAGGGGTACCAAGTCTGCAATCTGTGTTTTAAGACCCTCTTTTTCTCTGCTGCCCTTACAGTCTGTGGGACTGTTGTCACTGGAACACAGTCACCGAGATTTAGATCCTAAGTGCTTGAAGCATTTTCAGTTCTAATGATCAAGTTGTAATAGATAGTTGAACAAGCCGAAATTCAACTACAGTGTGCCTTTTTGTGAGAGATGTCTTTAGATAGATTCTCATCTTTTGTAAGTGAGGAACAAGGAATCAGCAGAGGACATTAATTGTTAACTGTCTTCTGCAAAGGGAGACTGAATCCCAAATTGGAATGTCTAAGCTTTTCTACTAAAGCGCAACTATTTATGTAACTGGTATACGTTGCCTTTTTTTAATGATTATAATTTGGCCAGTTCAGCTGTATCTTACACTATTACTATTCTAACCATTGAGTTTGGGGAAGCTGCTCAACTTTAACCCCACTTTTAACGCACAAAACACCCCAAAGATCCCACTTTCACTTCAACATAGATCTTGTGCTTACACTTCCACTAACATCTCATGTTCACCCCCTCTACAACTGAAAGGCCTTAAAGCTGGTGTTGCCTTGATTGCAAAATGTATTGGAAACAAAAGTGATTTTTCTTGGTCTTGTTAAGCTTTTTATTGTATTGGAAAGTTTTCTTCAACCCAAGATAGAAACTCTATTTTCTTTGGAAAACAGTATTTTTGCAGCTACTTTTTGAAGTTTCGTAAATTTTAATGTAAGTATCACAAAGGCTTATGGAAGAATGTTAGCCTGAGGTTCGTTGCCTTTTCTTGAGTTGAGATATTTTTTTGGCAGATCTTGGTGTTTAAACCAATTAAAAATATTTTAAAAAATGGGCATTTGAGATTTATTTATTTATAAGTTTGTCAAAGAGGCTATTTAGGTGGGAGGGAATGCTGGACACACTTGGCATTCTAGCCACTGTACCAATTGAGGCTTTCACCTCAGCACTAACTCTTAACTGGTAGTTTATCAATTGGTGGCCCAGCAATGAACTAATCATCATATCTCAACATTCAGAATAAACAATGGTATAATTTCATGAAATTTGGCTTGTGAAGTGCACACCATTTCAGTTTGCAAGCCATGACACATCAACCAGCCACAACCTGAAACCATTATATTTATATTGGCACTTGAATTGCCTTATTTAAACAATGGCTTTTCATGATGTCCAAATCTGCATCCCTACTTTGTTTTACTAGTTACCTGCAGAGAAACAAACTATTAACATCAGAACCAGGGAAGTCAGATATTTTGGGGAGCATTTGCTGTGCAATTGATGCAACAAACCATCACTTATATCAAGGTGTGAAGATATGCAGTAGTATATTTCAGCCTACATTATATTCTAAACAAAAGTATGTTAACTGTGGCTTTCCCCTTCAGCAAAGTACAATCCTGTCTTCTCTGATGCCAATACTAATGACACCAGGGGGGGAAAGAATGCAGGGCTAGATACATGTTAAATCTAGAGGTGTGAAAAAGAGACAATCAAGGATCTGGTAATGAAGTGTTTGAGTGAAACTAAGATAACCTGGACAATTAATAAGTTAAAATAGACTTCCTTGGTATGTACATTCTACATTAATACTCAGAACTTCTCCAAACTGCTTTCATTTTGTGGTTCTGCAATAATTTTGCAAATAATAAGCAGAACTGGGAAGTTCCAGCAAGGAACTTGCACATCTCAAACAACAATGCAGTACACTTTTGGCTCATTAGTTTTAATATTCTGATAGGAAGGACACACAAATGAGCATGAGCCAAATTTGTAATATTGTCTTAAAGGTCCAATAAAGATTTTGGCATTTGTCTTGATCAAGACAGCTCACTAAAGAGATTTTTTAAAGAACCCCTTTAACTATGGTGGATTTTCTGGGCCCTTCCACCTAGTCCTATATCTCAGAATATCAAGGCAGACAATCCTACATTGTCTGAGTGTGGACTCAGGGCCCTTCCACACAGTCCTATATCCCAGAATATCAAGGCAGACAATCACACATTATCTGAGTGTGGACTCACGGCCCTTCCATACAGCCCTATTTCCCAGAATATCAATACAGACTATCCCACATTATCTCAGTGTGGACTCTGGGCCCTTCCACAGAGCCCTGTATCCCAGAATATCAAGGCAGACAATCCCACATTATCTGAGTGTGGACTCAGGGACCTTCCACACAGCCCTATACCCCAGAATATCAAGGCAGACAATCCCACATTATCTGAGTGTGGACTCAGGGACCTTCCACACAGCCCTATATCCCAGAATATCAAGACAGACAATCCCACATTATCTCAGTGTGGACTCAGGGCCCATCCACACATCCCTATATCCGAGAATATCAAGGCAGACAATCCCACATTATCTAAGCGTGGACTCACGGTACTTTCCACACAGCCCTATATCCCAGCATATCGACGACAATCTTACATTATCCGAGTGTGGACTCGGGGCCCTTCCACACAGCCCTATATCCCAGAATATCAAGGCAGACAATCCCACATTATCCCAGTGTGGACTCGGGGCCCTTCCACACAGCCCTATATCCCAGAATATCAAGGCAGACAATCCCACATTATCTCAGTGTGGACTCAGGGCCCTTCCACACAGCCCTATATCCCAGAATATCAAGGAGGAAAAATCCCACAATATCTGCCTTGAACTGGGAGTCCACAGTCAGGTAATGTGGGATTTTATGCCTTGATATTCTGGGATATAGGGCTGTGTGGAAGGGTCCTTTGCCTTGATATTATAGACAGGTCTATTCCCCTCCCTCATCCAATTCCTAAGGAGGCTTCCAGCTTCCCTAGCAACGGTTGCTGCCTCTATCTTTAGCCACGCCCTCTACTGACAGACACCAATTAGAACCTGACACGGACAAAAGACCCGCCTCGTCTATATTTGCCTACGCAAAAGCCTGTCGCTTCAGTCCTTTTAGGTCCCCGGCTAGTTGTCTACTGCAGTGCCTGGAAAAAACCCGAGAAAAATCTGTATATCATCTAAAGGAGGGGGGAAAGCGTGAACCCTTTAGATTAGGCATAGGCAAACTTGGGCCTTCCTCCAGGTGTTTGGGACGTCACCTCCCACCATTCCTAACAGCCTCAGGCCCCTTCCTTAAGCGGCTGAGGGGGAAAAGGAAGGGGCCTGAGGCTGTTAGGAATGGTGGGAGGTGACGTCCCAAACACCTGGAGGAAGGCCCAAGCTTGCCTATGCCTGCTTTGGACCAGTTTTAGTGAAGCCCAAGCCAATCAGGCAGTACACTAGCCGCCCCTGAGGCTGTAACAGGTATGGGTCCTTCCTGGGTGCCGTCGCATTTGCTTCTATGAGGCCCCCGTTTCCGCCGCCGGCGGCACCGCTGCGAGATGTCTGCGTGGAGTTGTCACCGTTGAGGTTGCCAGGGCCTGAGACCACGCCAGGGCCGGGGATGGGGGTGAGCGGGGGCTCCGGAGGCGGAGGCGGGGCCTTCCTTCCCGAGCGGCTGCGGCTGCCGGTCTGCTGCTTGGGGGTCTTCGTCTGCTACTTCTGGTACGGCGTCCTGCAGGAGACAATGTGAGTCGCCTCGAGAGCGAACGCGGCCTGCCTTCCTTCCCTCCCTCTAATTTATTTCTCTGGGGTTTCCTGCACGTTGGAGAATTTATTTATTTATTATTTATTTATGTACCATATTTATATGCCGCCCTTCTCACCCCGAAGGGGACTCAAAGCAGCTTACAAGATATATCTATATCTATCTATCTATCTATATTGTGTGTGTGTATATCTATCTGTCTGTCTGTCTGTCTATCTATCTATCTATCTATCTATCTATCTATCTATCTATCTATCGATATAGATAGATAGATCTTGTAAGCTAAAGAAAGACCCTTAAAGAAGAACAATGATATGTTGCATGTTCCAGAGCAGGCAAACCAAACAATCTCCACATCAACACTGACAAAGAAGCAGCAAGAAATACTGTTTACCCACAAGCATAAAGAAATTACATATATTAGAAACCAACACTTTCTCATTACTTTTCGAGATCACCAGACTGGGCCATAGCAGGGGACGACTAGTAATATTATAAATGTTATATGTATATACAATGTATTATTATATTATTAGCATAGCACAGGAGACAAGAATGCGTGCAGTTTGGCACCACTTGAGCTGTCATGGCTCCACGCTGTGGAATCCTAGGATTTGTAGTTTGCCGAGGCCCCAGCACTCCTTGGCAGGGGAAGCAACAGGTTTTGTCAAATGACCACTGCCATGATTCCATAGCATTCAAGTGGTGTCAAACTGTGTTAATGTCACAGTGTAGATCAGGTATAAGCCCCCTATGGTGCAGTGGGTTTAAATCGCTGAGCTGCTGAACTTGCTGATCGAAAGGTTGCCGGTTCAAATCCAGGGAGTGAGGTGAGCTCCTGTCATTAGCGCCAGCTTCTGCCAACTTAGGAGTTCAAAAAGATGCAAATGTGAATAGATCAGTAGGTACTGCTTCTGTAAGAAGGTAACAGCGCTCTATGCAGTCATGTTGGCCACATGACCTTGGAGGCATCTATGGACAATGCCGGCTCTTCAGCTTAGAAATGGAGACAAGCACCACCCCAGAGTCGGACACAACTAGACTTAATGTCAAGGGGAAACCTTTACCTTGCCTTCCTGGTGGCGCAGTGGGTTAAACCGCTAAGTTTGTGAACTTGCTGACCAGTTCAAATCCGTGGAGCAGGGTGAGCTGTCGTTAGCCCCAGTTTCTGCCAACTTAGCAGTTCAAAAACATGCAAATTTGAGTAGATCAATAGGCACCGCTTCGGCAGGAAGGTAACAGTGCTCTGTGCAGTCATGCCAGCTACATGACCTTGGAGGTGTCTATGGACAACACCGGCTCCTCGGCTTAGAAATAGAGATGAGCACCAACCCCCAGAGTCGGACAGAGCTAGACTTAATGTTTACCTTTACTAGATCAGGCACAAACCACAGTCCTCCAGGCATTTTGGACTTCAGCTCCCACAATTCCTAACAGCCTCAGGCCCTTTCCTGAGGCTGTTAGGAATTGTGGAAGTTGAAATCCAAAACACCTGGAGGGCCGAAGTTTGTCCATACTGGTGTAGATGCATTCCTAATCCACCTGCATCTTGGCTGCTTTTTATTCTTTGATCTGGGCTGGTAGTAGGTTTTGCAGCATACTTTCGGTGGATGGCATTTTCCAGAAAATAAAGCCCCACCAATGTTGATATACAATGGGAAAAAATAGTTTACTAAATCAATTCAATGGAAACACATTCAGTATGTAGATTCTCATTAAAGTTGATTTGCTAGTAAAACTGAATTACTGTGATGCAAAATGATGCATACGTTATGTTTATGTCCCCAACATGAAATGTTAGGAAGGTCTGATCTACTGAATATATAGAGCAGTGTATTGTCAAAAGCTTTCACGGCCCAAATCAATTCTTTCCTCCCACTCTTGACATTCCACGGGTATATATGTTGCACTTGCTTGACTACCCCCAGATTCTATAAAGAAGCCAGCCATAGATGCAGGTGAAACGTCAGGAGAAAATGCTGCTAGAACATGGCCATACAGCCTGGAAACCACACAACATCCCAGTGAGACACCAGCAGTCTTTGGCAATGAAGGCTAAAGACCTTCTAAAACTACATTTCCCATAATTCCATAACATTGAGTCATGGCAGTTAAAATGGTCTCAAACTGCATTCGTTCTACACAGTGTAGATGCACCCTAAATCTTATTGAACTTGGGGACACCCTCAAATCATCTGTCAAATTACCTGAATTTTCAAGAAACTCTTAGACAAGGAATACATTGAAGTGTTTCGTGATTTCCTTCCTCTGAAACATAGCCTGCAGCACCTGGTATTTATTGCTGGTTGCTTAGCTTCCAAAAATCAAATAGAATTTATTGGCAGTAGGATATTTAGGCTACTAGCTTACTTCATATTAGTCACACATAGACACTGTAAAGTTCTGGGGGAAGGATTAATGAAGGTTGACAGGGAGGATGAAGAGAGTGTAGGCATAACCTTAATAGGTTATTATGATTATTTATTCCAGGCCTTTAATTTTTCTGTATGATATTCTGGTGGAATTTCGTCTTTCCTTGGATACTGCTTTCTTAGGAGGAGATTTTATATGGTTTGGATTTTCATAATTTAATTTGTAAATGTTGTTTCAGCCTGAAGTTAACTTTCTTAAATGCACTTCTTTCTCTTGCTTCCTTTTGTTTTCATTGTCTTTTTTCTCCTGCTAGAGTTTTTGCTTGAGATTTTTTTGTTTTCCTTCTATCTCCAGTTGTTCTGTGGCCATTTTGATAAGATGTACAATTTTTATATTCCCTAAAGAGACTTCAGCTGTCCTGATTTTTTTTCTGTACTTCTGATTAATTGATCCCTCTTGTATTCCTGTGACTTTATAAAGCAGATTCTGCTTATCCTTTCATCAGTTACTAAAACACCAGGAAAAGAAGTAAATGCTCTCTTTAGCCCATCTATGAAAGTCACTTGTAGTGAACCATTCCTGAAAATACGCATAAGTTATAGTTTTATCAGTGGATGTCTCGTTCTTTGCAACTAACTCTCATCTTCAATTTGCTTTTCTACAGAACAAGAGGCAAATATGGGGAAGGAGCAAAGCAAGAGAAATTCAGATTCGCTTTGTCTTTGGTCTTTGTTCAATGTGTGATCAATGCCATATTTGCTAGGATATGTAAGTATTTCCAAAGAAATAAGAATGCTGTTTGGTTCATGTTCATCCATTTCCGTGCCTTTGGGGCCTACTGTGAAACTTCTCTTTTTGAAAAACACCCTATGTTCTTTCATAGCTGATCCATAGAGAAAATTAAGACTTGTTTTCTCTCTTATTCTTGTCAGTCCACACAAACCTCAACTGCTTGCTCTGAACAGAGGGATATGGGTGAACAAAGGCAGTCATTCTGTTGCTTATGTGCCTTTTGTCTTGCTTCCCAAGACTTTAAGTTAAGAGCAGAGGACTGCACGGAAAGAGGACTATTTTCCCCTTTCTCTTGCTTTGTCTTATCCCTCATGCATTCAGAAGTAGTTTGAAAAGAGAAGAAGCTGAAATATATGGAGGGAAGATGGTATGAGAAAGATGTCTCCAACAAGAGCTTAGAAGTAGGCACCCTTTATTTATTACAGAGTCAGAAAAATAGGAATGTGTGAAAGGGCATGAACTCATTTATTCTCCTAGTGCATTTGAGCCAATATTGTTTTCTTCGGGTCTTCTTAGATGTGTATTTACATATGTGTCGGAAGAACATGCAGAAGATTAATACTACATATTTTTCTTCTCCTTCTTCCCTGACTGTGCTGCTGGGGAAAGTGTCATGTTCCTGTGTTTTATATTGCTTTGACAAGCTCATGTACAAAACTTTAGAAATATGAGGGAGAATGTAGAAAGCTCTTCCTGATGTCTTCTTCCCTTTGTATCCACCTTACCCATGGTAAAGGAAGTTAGTTATACCACCATACTTGTGGGTGGGCTGGGGCTTTATGTCTTTCCCCTTAAACGCCTTTTCCAACAGTAGCCTGCTTTTTGAAGAGTCAAATTAGCTACTATATGCAAATGTACTAGAGAGGGATAAACAATTGTGTATGTATGTATAATTTGATAATAAAAAGAACTAACAGAGAGAGAAATGCCTTTTCTTCTACTCGCCTATTCCCACCTTTGTTAACAACAACAACACACATATAAGTTATTGGTGCTACTTTTCATTTAAAGAAAAATAGTGGGAGAAAATTTGCCTGAGATCATTTGCCAGCCATAGATGTAGAGGGGCTTTTAGCTTTGCTCCCAAATTTTAGATTTACAAGTGACACAAAATGTACAAACTGCACAAAACAAGGTGCATGTAATCCGCTTGCCACATTTCCTTTCGCTTTGAACTTAAAAACTTGGAGAGAGGTCACTTTGCCCGGGCATTTCAAACCTGGAAGTCTTCCAGGTATGTTGAACTATGAAACTTACTATCCCCAGCAAGGCAGGCAAGCAGGCTGGTTGGCGATGACTGCGCCTGATTAGGGAGCATTGATCTTACTTTTTTCCTTTTGCATGCTAAAGTAAGATCTTCATGTAGCTGTTCCTATAAAGAAATGCTTTCTTTTGCCAACACATCTGTTTCTTGCACATTTTCTCCCCAATCAGTGATCCAGTTTTTTGATACTGTCAAAGTGGACCGGACCCAGAACTGGCTTTATGGAGCTTGCTCCCTCTCCTACCTGGGAGCCATGGTCTCCAGCAATTCAGCTCTGCAGTTCGTCAACTATCCAACTCAGGTGAAGAATCACAAATCTCCAGGGTGGGATGATGAATTAGATGCATAGGAGCAGAGATTTGGGGAATGGGATATCTCAGAGACATCTTCCCCTTTCTGGTGACTTCACACTTCACTGCAGACTGTATTTTAAGTACTGAGGATAATGCTGAGAATATTACAAAAGCTGGAGACCTTATTTCTGTATCAGATTCAGGTGGATATGCTTTGTTTTTACCTAATAATTCATAAATGATTGTTGGATTGGAAACAGAGAAGTAAGAGTTCCTCCAAACTGCTGGGCAAAACTGGATGTTCATCAGAACCCCCAAGTTGGCTAGAGACACCCCAACAGTACTGCTATTTCTATTTTGCAAAGAGTGTCCAAAATGATCAAATGCAGCCTAAGACATATGTCACATGTCTTCCAAGTTAGGAAGCTCCACTCCCTTTGCTGAAATTCTGAAACTATCACTGGATTAGTGTGCAGTAAAGAAGACCTCTTTCTTTGGGGAGGAAACATAGGACAAGATTCCTAAGTGGGCTTTCATTAAACAGATTCTGGCAGGTTTTATGTCTATCCAGCATTTACCCAACATCCACTTGTCAGGTTGCTTGGAACTTCCCTGCAATCAGCTACACTTTTCTCTATTTTACTCATTTTCTGCAATACATAATTGAAATGGCAGAGGTGAGAAAGCAGTGCACAGTATTTCTGAATTTGTTGTGCAATGATACAAATGGATCTGCCCTGGGCTAGGCCCTGATAGCTTTTGGCTCTAGCCATGACTCTGAAGTGGGGGTTGTGGCCCCATGGAAAGAGAAACTTTGATCTGAGCTGAGAGTAGGAAATGAAGCTCTGTAGGGAATGCAAGGCAAGAGTTTAATAAATGAGTGACTTGTGGGGGTGTATAAATCAACCAAGTATGTCTTTTGACGTATCTGAAAAGCTTCATAGGCAAAGAGAAAGCTAGTAATGACAGTAATTTAGTTCAGTAGTGTTCACTAACTACTGGACTAAGACACAGCAAAATCGTTATATAAATATGTGGTGGAGTAAAGTCTAAAGAAAAGAAAGATGTGCTAGAGAAGAACAAGCATGACAAGGGAGGAAGTGAACACAAGGGAGGAAGTGTAGTGGATAAACAGAAAAGAGATAAAAGCTTAACATGGATGTAGAACTTGCAAGGAGTTGAAAAAAATGTATTCAGCCAAATCTCTCCTTTTTTTGTTTTAGGTTCTTGGAAAGTCCTGTAAACCCATCCCAGGTAAATAACCCTTGAGTCCTTTACCAGAATCATGTGTGTTTTATCGGAACTGCTTGGGTGAATTGCATATAGCTAATTGAAATGAAAGACTACAGTTTGACAGGCCTTCATAATGTTTTTCGAAAGAGCTGGCATGAAAACAATTTTTTTGTTTTGGAGGAGGGTGCGTGTTTTTGGCTGCATGGTTTACAGAATTTATTTATTTATTTCTAATATTTGTCTCAACCCGGGTGGGGGGGGGCGCTTAGGGCAGCTTACAGTTGGCAACATTCAGTGCCCCCATATACAACAAATAAAACAACAGTTACATAATAAGTACACCATTAAATTCATTAAAATCCATTTAAAACAGTACTAAATTGGTTGGCCATATCTAAATCCGAGTGATACGACCAACTACTTAAACCGAAGCCTATTTTCCATAGCATTGTCATCCTTTTTATTGTCAGCCTGCTACCCAAATGGGTCCCACAACCACGTTTTCAACTTTTTCCTGAAGGAGAGGAGGGAAGCAGTTGACCTAATTTCGCTAAGGAGTGAGTTAAAGGGGGATTGAAATAGAAGTACAAGAGTGAAGTCATGTAGCCACTGAAAACCTACTTCAGTTCACTGGAAGAACTTGGTTTGTCTTCCTTTGTGGTTTATGTATTGGTTTTTGTTTTATTAATCATCAAACCATATGGATGTTTTTAAACTTTTAGGAATCTTCTGGATTACAAATAGACAAGAAAACCAACATTTTCAGGTCATTTTGTTATAAAAATGGCTCCCAGTCTTTTTTTGGATCTTGCTCTGTTCAATATGGTGTTTAGAGTGGGAAAATGAGTTATTGGAAAGGATTCTAAGATTTTAAAACATGGAAGGCAATGGTGAGAGGCTGAAAACCAGCCCAAATCTGCTTCCTGATGTTTACATCATTATTACATTATGCTAGTCAGATACAAATGTGATCTCCAGAAATATGTTCTCAAAATCCTTCTTGTTCATAAAACTGACTTGTGTATCCTCCTCTGTGAAAAATTATATCCTTGTTTCATTGTAAGTATGCATGATGAAAACAATTTCTAGTGGTTAGGATTACTTTAGTGTCACTGGAGAGCCATGTTTTTCCTCACTATTTGTTTTTCTTTTTCTAGTCATGCTCCTGGGGGTGACGGTGTTGAGGAAGAAGTACCCACTGTCCAAATACATGTGTGTCTTACTGATTGTCACAGGGGTAGCCCTCTTCATGTACAAGCCAAAAAATGGAGGAGATCTTGGGGATGACCACATCTTTGGATATGGGGAGCTCTTGCTGGTAAGCCTGGAACTGCCTTGAAACCTTTTGTTGGCAACATAGGAAAGGAGAGATAGGTGTTCCTGGAAGAATAAGGGTGGTGGTTTGTTTGCTACTGTGGTGTCCTGACTGCAATGTGGCACTTTCTCATGTTGGGCAACCTGCAGCCCTGAGGCTAATTTCTGATTTGAAACACCCTTCCTTCATACCTATAGCAAAACTGATTTCTATCTTCTCTGCATCCTGATAAGGAAGAGTATGTAAAGAAAGGGATGATAGAAAGAATTGCCTCACTCATCCATCCACTTCCACGTGTTTCTAACAGATTTCCTGTTGCCCTCAAAAACAAAAAAAAAGTTGCATATCACATATATTTTGTTATGCCAAAGGGCATGAAAGGAGAGCCTGTGCTTGATCAGAGACTTTTATCATTTGGTTTTAATGCTAGTATATTTTTCAAAAAACTCCATGAGAAAAGGTATATATGCTAAAGGGTTTTCCTCTTCTTATCTCATTTGAGCTTTTTAACATTTTATCCTCCACATGTGGTCTGCCCACTGTCATTGTGATTGTGTTTATTGTAATGTTATATTTTATTATATTCATATGTTTTTATGTAATTATGATGCTGTTGCTTGTTGCTTATGTTTTTGGTTTATTATTATTTATTGCTTATGTTTTTGGTTTATTATTATTTATTATTATATCCATAGTGAATTCTAAATGAGCGCATCAGATCAGGTTCACATTGCAGCTGTGTCAGGAATAAGAATCATGCAAGCCCCGAGGTATTTTTGCAACTCTCAAAATCCCTCAAAATAAAAACATATACCACACCCCGAAGAATGTAATTACACTTGCATAGGGTATGCTTTCTCACTAAAACAAATTCTGCAAAAAAATAACTTTTAAGAGGAAGATAAAAACTGGAAGCTGTGTTTTTAAAAATGAAGTAATCTTTTGACTCCTTTTGGATTGTTATTTATTTGTCTATGGTCAATGAATATTTGTAAAAAGAAATAAAGGGCCACTTCCAGTTTCATTTGGAAGGGTTGGTGCAAAGCTTAAGCCCACCCCACCCTTCTGCCAGCTTTCCTGATGCTGCTTCATACCAAATGAGGCAAGGGGTCTTGAATAGCAACATTTATTTTGGGTCCAAAGTTTAAAAAATGAAGACAGGGTCCAAAAAGCAGTTTATAAAGCAAAGATTATAGTGACAACAGGCTGACAGCCAAATGTAGAACCTACTTCTGTTTCTTTGTTGATGTGATTGTCCAATCATGTTGGTCAGGTAAACCTTTTGACATTCAGTCACCACCTCAATTACTTTAAGCTGTCCTATGAATACCCCCTTCCCCTGTTCCAAAGGATGGGGTAGAAATGTACTAAAAAAATAACAGATTCAAGTAAGGGTATGATCTTTCACTCTCTCATGCTTTCATTTGTTCTCAAAGATAATCTAGGACCCAATAGAGTTACATGTATGTCTTTATTCTCATCACAAATATAGATAGATTTTAGAAAGCAGTTCACAGTGAAGCCAATAATAATAATAATAATAATAATAATAATAATAATAATAATAACAACAACTTTATTTTTATACCCCACCAACCATTTCCCCTAAGGGTCTCGGGGCGGCTTACAAGCGGGACCAGGCCCAAAACATACAGTAAAATTCACCAACTAAAAAAGCAGTTAAAAACATAATAACATATAACAATTCAATTAAAACACAATTAAAAACAACAAAATATACAAGCAACGTTGAAACTGTATCAAATCAGACTCAGACCAGTGTTTAAAACACTCATACAGTAAAAAAAACAAAACACATTAAAATCCAGTACAACATTTTATAAAAATTAAGGGTACTGATAGGTTTTGAGTGCACAGCAAAATGACTGGTAGACAGCTGGGTCTTCAAATGATGATGGAAATACTCCACACAGAGAATATGATTGATGTAAATGGAAAGACTGTTCCACTTGATGGGAACCACAACACAGATCAATCATTAATCTCTGCCTCAGTCCATACGTCTTTGGAAAAAAGCAAGCTGCCTTGTAGGATATCTATATAAATAAAAATGTAATGTTCGTTTGTGGGATTAACAGAACTCAACCACTGGACGAATTGATACCAAATTTGGACACAAGACACCTAACAACCCCCCAAAAAAAACTGATTTAGTAATTTGGGAGTTGTAGTTGCTGGGATTTATAGTTCACATACAATCAAAGAACATTCTGAACCCCACCAATGATGGAATTGAACCAAACTTGGCACACAGTTCTCCCATGACAAACAGAAAATACTGGAAGGGTTTGGTGGGGAGTGTCCTTTGCTTTTGGAGTTGTAGTCCACCTACATCCAGAGATCACTGTGGACTCAAACTGTGGATCTGGACCAAACTCTACACGAATAAATATGCCCAAATGTGGTGGAGTTTGGGGGAAAATAGAATCTTGACAATTTGGACACAAGACACCTAACAACCCAATGTATGTCCTTCACTCAAAAAAACTGATTTAGTAATTTGGGAGTTGTAGTTGCTGGGATTTATAGTTCACCTACAATCACAGAGCATTCTGAACCCCACTAATGATAGAATTGGGCCAAACCTCCCACACAGAACCCCCATGTGGGCCACAGCAACACGTGGCAGGGGACGGCTAGTGTCAACATAAAACTAATAAGACTATGTTTCAGAGGAAGGATCTGGTAAAACCACCTATGATCATTCTTTGCCTAAGAAAACCCTTGCCATGAGTGGAGGAAGCTTAATACAATATTAAATTTAAATTTTGTAAAGAATTGAGGGGTGGGTGTATTTAGCCTGCCTGGAAGTTAACAGAAAATGTTTGGGTCGTTATGTGTAGGACTGAAATCATTACATCTTTATTAGTAACTGTCCTTAAAAACTCCATATTGCCACCCTTGTAAAATGAAAGGTACAGTTCACTTGATTTGAGGAATGCTGGCAACTTCTGCATGTGCCTGTATGGTTTTCTACATTTTTGCCTTATAGATCTCCTGCCTAAGCAGTAAGCCAGTGTATTGTTTTCTGCCATGCATGTGCCTGTCTTATTTGTTTCTATCCCACTTCCCCTTCCATCCTTGTTTCAGCTGCTATCTTTAACTCTGGATGGCCTGACCGGAGTATCTCAAGACCACATGAGAGCGCACTACCAGACGGGAGCCAATCATATGATGCTGAATGTTAATGTGTGGTCAACTTTGTTCCTGGGAGCTGGTAAGGACTTTCTTAGAGTGCTGTGAGTCAGGCCGCATGGGTGATGGGGACCAGGACAGCCTGGTTTATACTCAGTGGCACGAATCCAAATTATATTATGGGAGTGGCTGCATAGACTGCTTTGCATGCAGAATCAGAAAAGGAACCAAGCTTGGGATAGGCATTCATTGGCTCACTCCAATGTCAAAGGAAACTAAATATAGAAAGCACTCTGTTTTTGCTGCCACAGACTAGCATTGCAACCTAGTTAAAAACAGTTACAGTATAGTTGAAAACTAGTCTGGAATCTTCTTTTTCAGAAATTTGATTTTACATCTAGATAGTATTTCACTATATTGTTTGACAGCAAACCAGTTTAAAGCTGAACCCAAATAAGACTGCCCTTGATCTCCACTTCATTGCAAGTCTCATTTATTTACTTTCCCACATTCTCTCTCTGGCAGCCTCCCAGTCCCTAAATAATTTTCTCCCTAGCATCTCCTGTTGCTTCTGGGTTGTATCTGCTATGCAGTTCTTTAAATGGCCATGAAGTGGTACTCTTGCAGCTAGTACTACCACCTGTAAATAGACTCCCCTTTCCAAAAAGCCTTCTCTCCCTGCAGTTTGGGTTTTCGCCTGGGCTCCAGTTTGGCAATAACTGTCACCATTTGGTGTCTCCCTTGTTCCAGCAGCCCAGTTGCTGTTTCCATTCCACTCTCCTTTGAAGCATTAAGCTCTTTTAATTCACATTTATGTGCTCTCCCGCCTCCTCAAGCTTACAGAGGCTTTCTTGGTAGAAGAGGTTAGATAATGAATTTAAAAAACGAGTCCCTGGTAGCCAAAATATTTTAAAGAACAATTGTTCCCTTGATGGCATTTTTAAAACAAGTACACAGACTGAAAGGTTAGTGGTTTGAATCCAGGGAGCGGGGTGAGCTCCCTCTGTTAGCCCCAGCTTCTGCCAAGCTAACAGTTCGAAACATGCAAATATGAGTAGATCAGTAGGTACTATTCTGACAAGAAGGTAATGATGCTCCATGCATTCATGCTGGCCACATGAGCTTGGAGGCGTCTACTGACAACACCAGTTCTTTGGCTTAGAAATTGAGATGAGCACTTACCTCCAGAATCAGACACGACTAGACTTCATGTCGGTGAAAGTGGTAGGTACACTTGATCAGTTAGTTCTTTCGAAACTTTAGATGAGAGAACTGCAGGAGCAAGGAACATGCCAGAAGTTGCTCTGGGTGGCTCAGCTTAGGAAGTTTACTGCCAAGACAGGTAAAAACCGAAAGCCAACTGTGTCTCCCTTACTGTATGCATTTCCTATTTGATATGGGACCACCCAGTTCTTAATTTGCCTGTTTAAGGATGTGGGAGTTCAAGGTGTGGGCAGCTGCCCAAACTGGGCAATGACAGGGGGGAAAAATCAAGAATCCAGCTTGAAATGACATGAAATTGAATTTTCCCTTAATGATTAGCAGAAGGTATTTGTGAGTCAAGAGATGCCACCAACCTTTTGCATATCCTTGATAGATAGGAACATATTTTCCACAATGCATGCCACCCAGACCCACAGGATTATTACTGATGTATTCAGGATATTCCATCCTCCCCTTTCTTCTTTGTTCTGCACAAAAGATAATCCTAGTAAAGTGTTGGAAAGGCTCCATACTATGGTGAATGATCAAATAGCTCAGAAATAAGAGTATAGAGTTATTTAACAGGATCCGTACCCCTATACAGTAGAGTCTTGCTTATCCAACCTTTGCTCATCCAATGTTCTGTATTATCCAACGCAGTCTGTCTCCTGCCCGGATCCACAGCTGTTTTAATACATTGCGATGTTTTGGTGCTAAATTCATAAATACAGTAATTACTACATAACATTACCCTGTATTGAACTGCTTTTTCTGTCGATTTGTTGTAAAATATGATGTTTTGGTGCTTAATTTGTAAAATCATAACGTAATTTGACGTTTAATAGGCTTTTCCTTAATCCCTCATTATTATCCAACGTTTTCGCTTATCCAATATTCTGCCATCCTGTTTATGTTGGATAAGTGAGACTCTACTGTACTTCCATTTTCTTCAGTTCTGGTGAGGAGTTCTAAGGAATCAACTAGCAGCATTTTTGCATCAGTTTTAGTTCCATTGAATTCTTTGCCTCCCATTCTTGTGTTCTAACACACTTTGCAGCATTTCCTATCACTCTAACCTTCTTACTAATCAGTATTTTAAAAATTGGATTGGACCTGCTGTGCAAAACAGAGATGTTGGATGTTGTCATCTAGGCAGATAGTGTCAGGTTCAGTGACACTAGTGGATTATTGACTTGATCCAGCATAGCATTTTTTCATAACTCCATGATTCATGAATGGGAAGTCTGTGGGTCTCCTCCTGTTGAGGAAATGTTGTCATTCCTCAGCACTATCCAGGCTAATAGAAGATGATGGGTGCTAGAGATCCACAACATCTGTAGAGCCTTTCTTTTTCTTGTCGGCTGGATTTGGGTCTATGTAAGTGGAGTTGTGTTTGTGGGAATTAGAACTGAGTAGTTCTGTATTGTCCATATCCAGGAAAGGTCTGCTGTCATGTTACTATGTATTCCCACCAGTTGTGCCTGTGAAGTTGGTAGAACTGAAAGAAGGGTTTCTCTTGTGGATATAAGGGGCTGGGCAGACTCATATCACAAGATTTATTTATTTATCATATCAGAAGCGAATCAAGGTACAGTTGTAATGTTTGTTTTTTTTAAACGCACACAGGGTATAAAAACTTGTCATTATATTTAATGTTCTTTGACCAATAGCTGGCCACTTGGAGTGCCTCTTGTGTTGCTGTAAGGTGGTCCTCTATTGTGCATGTGGCAGGGCTCAGGCTGCATTGTAATAGGTGGTCTGTGGTTTGCTCTTCTCCACACTCACATGTCGTGGATTCCCCATTTCTTAAGGTTGGCAGACGATATCACAAGATATCGTCTGCCAAATAACCATAAATTGCTCAGTCATACAGTATTAGATTATTGCCTACTTCTCCATCTGCTCCCAAATTGGTGAATCTTTCTTCTGAAACGAAGAAGCAGAGAAATGAAGAATTGCTCTGTTCTTAACCCTTTTCTCCACCCTACAGGTATCTTGTTTACAGGAGAGATTTGGGATTTCTTGAGTTTCACTGAGCGTTATCCCAGCATCATCTACAACATCCTTCTCTTTGGTCTGACAAGTGCCCTGGGCCAGGTGAGTGAATTACATTTTCTGCTTTGTCTTCAGGCATTTGCTCAGTCTTTGAACAAATATCAGGATGCTGTCAGTCTTGTTCTATTTTTGAGAATTGTGGAATTTATAAACCTATTGTTTCAAGTTTCCTGTTGCTCAGATGATTTGAGACCATTCCAGAGAAGGAGGAATCCCAGCTCTTTTCAGGGTGCATAAAATGTGTGTGATTTTAGATTTCTTACACAAAGCTCCTCTGTGGGTTTGCTGCATTTGATTCTTACTTTAAGCCAGAAATTCTGGCTTAAATTATGAGATAAAGTGAATCCATGTAAGAGCATGTTGGCTGCTTGCCTTTTTTTCCTTTCCTATCTCTGTGAGTGGATGGTAGGGCTAGGAAAGGTGAGCTTTGTTTGACATCAGATGTTGGGTTTGTAGCTAAGTGTGTAAACCATCTTTTAATCAAAGTTTGCTGTTTTTCAAATGGAAAAAATTACAGAAAGAAATATTGCAGACTGATTTGGGAATCAAGATGTGAATACAACAGTATATTTTCTTGAACGAAACTTGCTTCTTAAAAGGAACCTTTGCCTAACTCTTTGAGTGCAAGAGGAAGAGATGCCTTCTCTTTAGAGCTGTCTGTAGTCGTTATTTTGGGCAATATGGAGGTAGAGTAAGGACTGTATTTCACATTGTTTGGTCAGGCGAAAACTGGCCAATGTAAAGGGTACACCCTATGGTAAACGGGTTATCTGGAGAGAGTTCATTTCTGCTATTTTAGCTGCAATACATATTTTTCTCATTATTTTGTTGCAGAGTTTCATCTTCATGACTGTGGTGTACTTTGGGCCCTTGACCTGCTCAATTGTCACTACAACCCGCAAGTTCTTCACCATCCTGGCTTCAGTCATTCTTTTTGCCAATCCTATCTCCAGTCTGCAGTGGGTGGGCACTATCCTAGTATTCCTTGGTAAGTTTTGGAAGTTTAGCACAATTTCTCCGACATTTACTTAATAAGGGGTGCCAGCTCCACTTCCTAGCATAAGGCAGTTCAGCAAAGACTGAAGTCTGCTGTTGTAAATGAAACTAGTTAATTCCTTCATGTGAAATTAATATACCCTCTTCTCCAGTGGTTCTTAACCTGTGGGTGGTCCGCAAGGACAAAAATCTGGTCTGTGATCCTCCTTCCTCTTTATTTATTATTTATTTTATTTTATTTCCGCTCCTTTCGCACCGCCTGCCACTCCTTCACTGTTGCTGACGATGGCATATGTTCTGTATCAGAAACTAGAGCTGATGTGGTCTATCCAATACAATTTTCTGAATCAGCACCCCAAATCAAATCTAAAGTTAACCAAAAACTGATTTGTAACCCTTTTGCTACTAATATTAGAGAGTGGTCCCTGATCAAAGTGGTCCCTGGTCAAAGTGGTTCCTGGTCAAAAAAAGGTACAGATGGCAAATAGTTCCACCCACAAAATGAAGCTGGCATGTGCATCCTTGGCAGCCCTCAGAGCAATGCAGAATTACACAAATTCTCTGTATTTTTAATGGTGGTGGAGGAGGAACCCCATCCCCAAAAATGGCTGCAGGACAAAGAGAAGGGAGACAGGGACGGATTTGAAAAATGGTGGAACTGCTTGTCATGGGCCATATTTTTGCCATCTCTTCTCAAGCTAGGATGGTTTGCCCTGTTTACAGAAGCTTCCCATCTGCAAAGAGAAACTTTCCCAAGGATGGAGTAATTTGCTTATTACCTAGACTATCCTGTGGGCATCTCCCTTTAAGCCAGATCTTTCTTTTTGTTTCTCTGCAGGACTTGGACTGGACGCCAAATTTGGGAAAGCATCCAAGAAAACATCACACTGAGAGAACATTGGGTGGTTCTCTTCAAAAACCTCAAGCATAACGAACTGTTAACTTATTGTCTTGCTCCCCAGCACCTGTCACCAAAATGGACTCAGGATGTGTGCTGGGGGAAAAGGGATGGTTTTTATGTGAGTTTTATTCCAAAAATATTGGATTTTTTTAAAATGGAGAGTTTTCTTTTAATTCTAATCAAGAAGGAGAATGTTTTCCCCATCTGTTGCCCCTCTTTTTCACCAGGATTCAAAGCTGGTGCTGACAGAGGGCCTGAAGGAGAAATCCTTGATACTATGGGAGGAATGTTTCATTTCAAATAAAAGGATAAGAAAGAGACCTGTGTTTCCACCTCATTTTTCTTTTGAGATGCAGTCATTAATAAGCACCATGTAATCTTCCTCTACCAAGAGGCATTCTGAGTTTGCATTGTAGTAGAACAGCATTTCTCAACCTTGGGATTGGGACCCCTGGGGGGGGGTTGCGAGGGGGTTTCAGAGGGGTCACCGAAGACTATCAGAAAACACATTATTTTCTGTTGGTCATGGGGGTTCTATGGGGAAAGTTTGGTTCAATTCTGTCATTGGTGGAGTTCAGAATGCTCTTTGATTGTAGGTGAACTATAAATCCCAGTAACTGCAACTCCCAAATATTAAGGTCTATTTCCCCCAAACTCCACCAGTGTTCACATTTGGGCATATTGAGGATTTGTGCCAAGTTTAATCCAGATTCATCATTGTTTGAGTCCACAGTGCTCTCTGGATGTAGGCGAACTACAACTTCTGAACTCAAGGTCAATGCCCACCAGACCCTTCCAGTATTTTCTGTTGGTCATGGGAGTTCTGTGTGGGAAGTTTGATTCAATTCCATCGTTGGTGGAGTTCAGAATATTATTTGATTGTAAGTAAACTATAAATTACAGCAACTAAATTGTGCACAAATGACAAAATCGATCCTCCCCTAACCCCACCAGTATTCAAATTTGGGCATATTGGGTATTTGTGCCAAATTTGTTCCAGTGAATGAAAATACATCCTGCATATCATATATTTACATTACGATTCATAACAGTAGCAAAATTACACTTGTGAAGTAGCAACGAAAATAATGTTATGGTTGGGGGTCACCACAGCATGAGGAACTTGTATTAAGGGGTCACAGCATTAGGAAGGTTGAGAAACACTGTAGTAGAGCTTGTAGGTGCACAATTCGGTTGAAATAATTTAATTGAAAAGCACTATTCTGTGTATGTCTATTTTGAAGTGCCACTGTAATTCCTCTTTACTGACATTTCCCCACCAAACTTTAGATGGTGAAGATTGGTGTGGGGAAGGGGGAAAAGGAGGTGAATTACTTTTTGTTTAAGACCTTTTGTAGGCCCAGTTGGAAAATTCAACAATAAAGGTAGAATTGTAGACAATTCAGAAAGATCCCAAGATTTCAGGAAAAAAAATACTTTCCCTTCTGCAACTACAACTCCCAAAAAGTCTCAGCCAGATGTGTCTGTGTCTTGAGCAGCTGGTGTATCGTGGGACTGTGGTCTAAAGCAGGAATTTCTCCAAGCTCCAGGCAAAAGACATGGTGGCGTTTGAATCCATCAGAATTTTGTACCAACCTGACATACACAAAAATAAGCAGATGCATTTGGCAAGAGGAAGTGAGCTGGGCAGAGCCGTGATATTCTCCATTTATCACAAGATGGTCATAGTTCCAATTCTCATGAGTACAGTGAGAAACGTGCCAAGACAAGTCACAGATTTACAAATAATGAAGTAAGTGGGAGTCCAAATTGCATATATTGATCCTTATGGCCATGAGCACTGTTTAGATCAGCCTGGACATTGCAAGCTGCCACTTCTTCTTTTCCTCTCCTGTCCGCTTGGCTCTTGGACCATATGTAGAATTGGCTGCACTAACAATAGCCTGGAATGGCCAGAAGCCATTTTTATGATCACAGGAACTCTTTTATGTGGTGCTTGAGCTCTTTGGCATTCAAATACAATAGTACCACGTTTTTTAAAAGGAGAACTGGAAGGGAGAGTGCAGTTTCTGTACTCGGTGTAAAAACATTTGCATAGTTTTCTTAAAAGTATTCAGATAATGGAGTAGCAGCAGCTGAGGTTACCTGGAAGGAGCAAGTACCACATTGTGGTAGCTGTGTTCCAGTCAAGTTTTAATTTCTTGTGTGAACTGAAATAACAACCAGACTCCCTATGAGGATATTTGTAGCCTTTGAACAACAGTACTCAAATACACCCTTCTGTTGTGCGGTGTAGCTCTCCACTGCTGTTGCTTATATAGCACTTGGACAGTTAGAACACTGAAAGCTTTCTTCTATCATTTTTCAACCTAGCCAATGGCCCTCCAGAATTTCAGGCAGGACTTTTTCCTAGATATAATAATAATAATAATAATCATCATCATCATCATCATCATCTTTATTTAATACCCCGCCACCATCTCCCCAATGGGGACTTGGGGCAGCTTACATGAGCCCGAGCCCAACAGCATATTGCAATAAAATTAAACCAAAATACAAAAACAACACAGTAAAATACATGCAACATATCAGTACAAAAAATGATAAAGCAAAATCATACACAATAAAATAAAATAACAATGAGTAGGTCACATGTGCAAGATAAAAACTAAGATACTAAAAATACTAAAATCAGGATGAGACAGGAATGGAGCAGATTGTTTGTGAGGGAGAAACTCGTAAAAGAACAGGGTCATAAATATAGACCTTCATACAGGTGGGGAAATATACTCTGGAGACAAAAACCGTTGAGGGGGAGCAACTGTGTATGATAATATGGCTACTCTCCAAAAGCGCATTGGAAAAGCCAGGTTTTGAGATCCCTCTTGAAAATTTCTAAGGTGGGGGCCTTCCTAATCTCACTGGGCAATGAGTTCCAAAGTTGGGGGGGGGGGGCACAGAGGAGAAGGCTCTCTCCCTTTTTCTTACAAGACGAGCCTGTGATAATGGCAAGGGCGAAAGGAGAGCCGCCCCCGAGGATCTAAGAGCTCGGGCTGGTTCATGGAGAGAGGTAATCATCGTACACAGGTAATCATTGTGTAACCCACCCCAGTACTTCCAAGCCTTGATATGCTTAGTTTCACAAATATTGTACAAGTTTGGGGGTGTTTTGGGTGATAACAATAGCTGAATACTATAATAATAATAATAATAATAATAATAATAATAATAATAATAATAATAATAATAATAAAAAACAACTTTATTTATATCCTGCTTTTCTCCCCAATGAGACCCAAAGTAGTTCACAACATAGTACAATACAAATCAAAGCACATTTAACATAAAACAAGACAAAATCACACAAATCATAATAACATCCACAAATAAAATATAAATAAATATTAAGCTTTAAAAACATTTAAAACCAATTACAATGATTGTGGAGACTCATCAATTAAATAGAATATTTTGCTAAGCTCAGTGCAAATTGACCTTGCTGTCATTAGTAATTGAATTCATTCTTCAAAAGCTTGCTTGCAGGTAAGTCTTCAAGTGATTCTTGAAAGACAACAGGGAAGGGGCAGTTTTAATCTCAATGGGGAAGAAGTTCAAAAGAACTAGGGAAGGTACTGAGAAGGCCCTCTCTCTCGTTGCCTTAAGACAGCGTTTCTCAACCTGGGGGTTGGGACCCCTGGAGGACTTGTGAGGCGTGTCAGAGGGGTCGTCAAAGACCACCAGAAAACACAGTATTTTCTGTTGGTCATGGGGTTCTGTGTGGGAAGTTTGGCCCAATTCTATCGTTGGCGAGGTTCAGAATGATCTTTGGTTGTAGGTGAACTATAATTCCCAGCAACTACAACTCCCAAATGTCAAGGTCTATTTCCCCCCAAACTCCACCAGTGTTCACATTTGGGCATATTGAGTATTTATGCCAAATTTGGTCCAGATCTCTCATTGTTTGAGTCCACAGTGCTCTCTGGATGTAGGTGAACTAGGTGGTCCTGAGGTATAGATGGATTTGCTTGTGCTTATGACCCAGGAGACAGAAAGTGTGTTTGAGCTCATACAGTAGCAACGAAAATAATGTTATGGCTGGGGGTCACCAGCACATGAGGAACTGTATTAAAGGGTCGCAATATTAGGAAGGTTGAGAACCATGGCCTTAAGATGAAGGACTCTGCAATAGTTCAAAATAATAACTCCTCCAAGCTTGCTAAGGAAGTTGTCTGCAAACACTTAGAAACAAATGCGGTCATTGCTAATTGTCAACACGGATTTAACAAAAACAAGTCATGCAAGACTAATCAGATCTCTTTTTTTGATAGAGTTACAAGCTGGGTAGATGTGGGGAATGCCATGGATGTAGCGTATCTGGACTTCAACAAGGTCCCCCATGACCTTCTGGCAAACAAACTACTCAAATTTGGGCTAGGCAAAACTATGGTTAGGTGGATCTGTAATTGGTTAAGTGGACGAACCCAGAGGGTGCTCACCAATGCTTCCTCTTCATCCTGGAAAGAAGTGACAAGTGGAGTGCCATAAGCTGGGTTCCATCCTGGGTCTGGTCCTGTTCAACATCTTTATTAATGACTTAGATGAAGGGTTAGAAGGCATGAACATCAAGTTTGCAGACGACACCAAATTGGGAGGGATAGCCAAAACCCCAGAAGACGGGCAGAATTCAAATCGATCTTAACAAATTAGAGAGATGGGCCAAAAATAACAAAATGAAATCCAAGAGTGACAAATGCAAGATACGTACTTACTTAGGCAATCCCTTGTTATCCGAGTAGGATTGTCTTCCAAGATCGGTGTACTGGGTCCGTAGGTGCAGTGGATCCCTATTCCTGATCTACATGTTCTCCCGCAGTGAGGGCATTGGTTTCCAGGTAGAAGGCAGTCCCGATCAGGGTTGCCTTGATGCACCTTTCTCTTGGCACGTTTCTCTCTTTCGTTCTCCATTCGTGCCTCTTCAAATTCTACAGCACTGCTGGTCACAGCTGACCTCCAGCTGAAGCACTCACAGGCCAGGGCTTCCCAGTTCTCAGTGTTTTTAAGGTTGGCTTTGAGCCCATCTTTAAATCTCTTTTCCTGTCCACCAACATTCTGTTTTTCGTTCTTGAGTTCGGAGTAGAGCAACTGCTTTGGGAGACGGTGGTCGGGCATCCGGACAACGTGGCCTCCACGAGTTGATGGTGGAGGACCATCGCTTCAATGCTGGTGGTCTTTGCTTCTTCTAGTACGCTGACATTTGTCTTCCCAAGAGATCTGCAGGATTTTCCAGAGGCAGCGCTGATGGAATCGTTCAAGGAGTTGCATGTGACGTCTGTAGACTGTCCACATCTTGCAGGCATAT